ACACAGAATTCGCCCAGCTATATATTTGCATTGAAAAGATTAGTTATTTACATACATCGTTTATTTACATATCTATTTACATACGTCTCTATTTTCTCAGTGTTTATTCTCTTTCACAGCCTTGTAAACAACAACAACGACTTTTATTGGGAACCTATGCCCTAAACAGGATTCGCCCAGATATATATTTGCATAGAAAAGATTAGTTATTTACATACATCGTTCATTTACATATCTATTTACATACGTCTCTATTTTCTCAATGTTTCTTCTCTTGTGCAGCCTTGTAAAACTTGTAAACATTTTTGACCCGTATGATTCTTTTCAAAATAAATCAATTTTCTACTAACCATACTGAAATGATAAAATAATTGGAGAGCCTGGCTCATCATTGGTGAATCCTCCCGGTGGTTTCGCCAGTTTAATCTACCATACCGGTGTAATATTGTATTTTTTTGTTTTATTTTTGATACCGATACTGAAGCTAGACTATTGGAAAAGGTATTTTAAATGAACATAAGTTTTGAGGCCAGTAGAAATACATATAATTATAAATTTTATCATGGCACAAGCCATCAACTTTCAGTTGCGCGATAAGAAGATGTCTTTTTTATAACATGTTCTTTTAGTCAGGATATGCCTTCAATATTTTTAATATCAACAGCTTACCTTTTTATTTATTTATTTTTCTATTGTTTTCTTGTGTGTTAAGCATATTTATGTAAATTTGGCCTTAAATACCCATTTCTTGTTTATTCAAGAAGCCTTTGAGATCAAAAATCTTTTTGGTATCAGTGGTACAGCCTATTCCACGCTGTCGAGCGTTAACAACGCGAAACGCGTTCGTAGATAGCTTTTTCTTGATTTATCAAGAAATTGGGTTGGCCAAATATCACGGAGTAAGTTATATAAACGTTTAGTTGATTTTTGCTCCACTAGATGGTGCTTTTGGTCAGGATATTCCTTCATTATTTTAATAATGTATATTGTAACATGGATGATACCAGAGTAAAGTTGGGGAAAGAGAGGTGGACTCCAGCTGCCATGTGGCAGGCGCCAAAAACAGCATTCCTGTGTGGGGGAGGACAGAGTCTGGTGACATCTGTGACAAGGAGAAGACGTGGCGTCTTGTCTGTGGATGATCCTACAAGACGGTGCCAGGAGAGACTGACATCGGAGCGGTCTACAAGACGGTGTAGTCCAGGCTGTACAGTGTGGAGCGGAACACAAGAGTGACATCCACGGCGCCAAGGATTCTTCTGACGGGGAGGTTGAAGACAAGTCCCACTATTGTATTAAATTTTTATAATACTCAATTTGTTACAAACCACGGAAATTTCAAAAGTTTTTTAAATAGAATAAAGGCAGTGGAGGATTCAAGTTGCTTTTGTGGTATTGAGGAACAAACCTCAAGACATCTACTGATCGATTGCCCAGCATTTCAAGATCATAGAATGAAGAATGAACTAGTTGTTTGTGAACTTAACGATTTGATTTCCGATAAAAATCATATTTAAAGTTCAATTTATTTTGTAAATACATTCTAAACTTTCTACAAAATCTGGATCTCTAATGTTTTCATGCGTTGAATAATGTAAATAACTTATGTAAATAAACATTTCTCCTTGTTTGGTGCAAGTATCCCTTGTGAATTATAGCGCTTTGGAAATAAAATAATTGGAATTGTAACTGTTGTATTCCTTCTGTTAAGTGAGATACAATAAAGCGCTAACTTTAGCTGCAATCCCTTCGAATTCACATGTGTATCTTTGTGGCATACTGAGTAGACAGAGTACAGCGTCTGGGTACGTCATAACAATATTATTACATAGATTGAAGTCGGAATAATAAAGGGAAATGGACAAAATGACGAATCTGCTTTTAGGAACATAAAGGGATGACAAATGGATTTAGGACAAGTCGATATATGGAAGCCAGAATCCAAGTTAAGGGGGGAAACACAATTGATGGCGTAGGGGAAGAGAGGGGGAGGTATTTAAAACCAGAATCGATTTACTCCCCAAGAATAATAGAACGTCAATAATCGATTTGGCCCCACTAGTAACTTCCAAACGATACCATACGCCTACTCTCGTCTGCATTCTAAAACACCAAACGATCAAATCTTATCATTTCAAATTTAATAACTTTTTCCCTTCAAATTTTTTTTTTCTTAATTTCTTTCCCTCAAAAATGAGTTTCTTAATAAGATATTAATTTGCATAATAAAATGGAGAAACTTTTTTTAGTATTCGTCTGCTTCTTTTTACATTATTATTTTTTAATTAGAAAAAAATACGCATTTGAATTTTTTTTTTATTATTATTATTAGAAAAAATTATAAATTGTATTTTTTTTATCATCAATTACCATATTGATAAGGTTGATTGGGTTTTAGTGTTAGGCCTAACTGAAGAAAAATATTACTATTATTTATCTATAATTACTATTTATAGATTTCCCGCCTAAAATCTGCTTAAAAATGATTTGAAAACTAACGTTCTTTGTTTGTATCACTCTATGAAAAATAAATATTTAAAAATACATTCGTTCAACAAATAAGGTAAAAATTTGGAAAGATAAGAAGAGAAAAATATTTTAAAATATATATTTTAGTTTAATATGCTAAAATAATTATAGAACGTTTGACAAATTTTTACTGTAAATGTTTCCTTTGAACGAAAAATCGCAATTTTATTTCAAGGAGAAATAACGACTATTCCTATCCTTAGGGATGAAGTATGAAAGAATGAATTGTAAAGAGTAATGATAAACGGAAAAATAAAAGTGTCCATGGATGGGAATCAAACCCACAGTGTTCCATTTACCGGGCAGATGCCATGTCCACTAGGCTACCCTGGACATATTTTTCCGTTCGTAAATATTGTATAAAGGTAATTTATAATACAATATAATGCGGCTTATGATTGTAGAACGAAATTTGACAAATATTTACCGCGAATGTTTCTTTTGAACGAAAAATCACAATTTTATTTCAAGGAGAAATAACGATTATTTCTATCCTTAGGGATGAAGTATGAAAGGAGGAATTGTGAAGAGAAATGATAAACGGAAAAATAAAAGTGTCCAGGAATGGGAATAAATAATTATAGAAATTATCATTATAATTTTTGTAATTGTTATCCATCGAAAAAATTGTAAAATTTATTTTTGCCAATATGCTAATAGGATAAATATTATTTCATATATTGATAATATATATTATAAGAAAAAAATATTAAAAAAAAAACTACCCATTAACAATTTAAAATTAGAAATAAAATATTCGTTTAATATATAAAATATTTTTTATTTTTGACCAATTATCTATCTATATATAAAAATAATACCAAAAGATACTTAAATAACCAGTTTGGTGCAAATATATTACAACCACAGACAAAAATAGGATAAACGCAATTATGAGAATCTGACTTCGGACAAGTATAGGAGCTCTATTCAACCTATCAAACAAGATACTGAAGGAGGACTTAACCCGATCTAGAAGATATGTACCAAACTTCCGTTAAGAAATTATACCTTCAAATGCAAAATTCAAATAATCCAACGATACAATATATTCTACATAATAAAGGAGATATCAATCCCCGATTCCGACGACCTGACACTTAGTTAAGATCTCCAACAGCTGCGAGGTCCGGGGGGACCACCTCTACTCCACGCCATGTGTAAATAGCCAGGACAAGGTGACTCGAATGTAACACCTGTAAATTGAGACGAAATAAATAAATAAAATACTTAAATATTTAAATAAATGATTCAAAATAAATAAATATTAATAAAGACAATCAATATATACATATAAAAAATTATATATAAATTGTCTCTATATATATGTTATGAATAATTTGTTTGTTGTTAGATAAAGGGTTCATAAGACAAAGGATCGATAAGATAAAGGGTTGAAGGTGCAGTCGTGATAAGAAAAATATAATTATTTACCATCAAGTAGCTTTTATTTTCAATTACTTGAGGAAACACATTAGTTATTTTCACATTATATAGAATTTATAAATCCTATATTAGTGATTTAAAAGGATAGATATGTTAACTACGCATATTTACAACAAAACTGCAAGTCATTCTAAAAACGATGATAACCAAGAAGTAGAAATATCAATGAATAAAATTAAAATATTGTAACATAGTATTTATTAATTTTATTATTTTTTATTAACAGAGTGGTCATTTTTATGTTTATATCTTGCGACTCTGTAAATTTCCCTCGTGGCTTATCTTTTGTTTTACCATTCATAGTTTGTTCTTGTCTTAAATAAATTGTTGTCTGAAGTTTTTGTCTTCCCTAATTTTCCACGTGGCAATATATATATTTTTTAAGATATAGAAATATTTGAGTTTTTAGATTATATAAAATATATATATACAAAATATGTAAATATGGAAGAATTTCTTTCTCTAAATTCAGATTGCCGTCTATAAAAGGACTTTCTTCTGTATAAAATCAGACGAAAAGAAAATGGATCTGTTGAAGCAATAGGAAAAAAAGAAGCAGAAGATGCATTCGACCTTGTATCGAAGCATTGAAAGATTTTTGTTGTTTTTTTTCTTTCAAGTTTTATAAAAGGAAAACATTTCCCTTACGCCTCAGTAAACGAAGTGTTGGATCAAATTTATTTAAGCAATTCTGAAAATTGTCTGATTCATTCTGACGCCATTGATTTTATTCTTTTGAAGATAATGTAACAAAGTATTTATTATTTTATTAACAGAGTATCATTTTTTAATGTTTATATTTTGTTACTCTGTAAACTTCCCTTATTGTTTATCTTTTGTTTTGTCATTCTTAAAACGTCAATTGAAAATTATACCGCATGTATTTCTTTTCAACGAAAAATCCAAATTTATTTTAAGGAGAAATAATGATTATTTCTAATCTTCAAATATCGTTTTACAATCATAAGCCGTATTATATTGTATTATAAATTACTTTATGTATTATTTACGAACGAAAAAATATGTCCAGGGTAGCCTAGTGGACATGGCATCTGCCCGGTAAAACGGAACACTGTGGATTCGATTCCCATTACTGGAAACTTCTATTTTTCCATTTATCATTACTCTCTTCACAATTCATCCTTTCATACTTCATCCCTAAGGTTAGAAATAATCGTTAATTCGCCTTAAAATAAATTTGGATTTTCCGTTGAAAAGAAACACATGCGATATAATTTTCAAATGTCGTTTTACAATCACAATCCGTTTTATATTGTATTATAAAATATCATTAATAGTTTGCCTTAAATAAATTGTTGTCTCATCCAGAAGTTTGTCTTCCCTAATTTTCCACGTGGCAATATATATATATATATAAATCAGTTATTGTTCTTTTTTTGAGGCATCAAAACTTCTTGTAATTTTAAAACTACCAGACTATTTTTTCATAACATCTATTAAAATAAAAAAAAATTGTACAATAGTGTGAGATTGTATTGAAAGATCAGATAAATAAATTAAGAAAAAAGTAAAAAAAGGCGTTTTTTGATCGTGCAACTAAAATTTGTTGATGTATTGCGCCATCTATCGGAATAAATATCAACTATTCTTTGAGTTTGCTTTAATAAGCAAGGTGTTGGATCGAATTTATTTAAGAAATTCTCAAAATTGTTAAAGTCTTATTCATTCTGACGCCATTGATTTCATTTCTTTTTCTTTTGAAGATAGATCAGTTATTGTTCCTTCTTCGAGGCATCAAAACTTCTTGAGTTTTTTCAACGGTATGAGAGCCTATCTTTTCATAACGTCTATCGAAAAAACTTGAATAAATATTCAAGTAAATGCTACAGGTTTCTGGTGAAGAGTTTATTCTATCTTTATTAAACGTAAATCTCAAGCATTCAGGTATCTCTTCCCTTCTACTGGAGTAAACAAATAATTACATATGTGGAAATAAATGAGTAAAGTTAGAAAAAAAGGATAGGTGTTGATGCACTTGCGCGCCATCTGTTATCAAATTATAAAACTATTTTAGTGGCGTAATATTCTTTTTAAAATAAAACAATTTCTACTGTCCTTACTGCGATGGAAAAATTAAAGGGAGGGCCTGGCTCATCAGTGGTGAACCCTCCCAGCGGTTTCGCCAGTTTAATCTACCATACCGCTGTTATATTGCATTTTTGGAACTTCCTTTTATAGGTGACTGTTGTAAGACTCTTGGAATGGGTATTTTAGAAGAACTATGGACATAAGCTTTTAGGACAGCAGAATTAAATATAATTATAAATATATAATATGCTTCGAGCAATCGCTCTTCCGCAAATATCAAATTGTGTCTTTTATTTGAACAATTATGTTACGATGCACTTGCGCGCCATCTGTTATCAAATTATAAAACTATTTTAGTGGCGTAATATTCTTTTTAAACTGGCGAAACCGCTGGGAGGGTTCACCACTGATGAGCCAGGCCCTCCCTTTAATTTTTCCATCGCAGTAAGGACAGTAGAAATTGTTTTATTATAAAAAGAATATTACGCCACTAAAATAGTTTTATAATTTGATAACAGATGGCGCGCAAGTGCATCGTAACATAATTGTTCAAATAAAAGACACAATTTGATATTTGCGGAAGAGCGATTGCTCGAAGCATATTATATATTTATAATTATATTTAATTCTGCTGTCCTAAAAGCTTATGTCCATAGTTCTTCTAAAATACCCATTCCAAGAGTCTTACAACAGTCACCTATAAAAGGAAGTTCCAAAAATGCAATATAACAGCGGTATGGTAGATTAAACTGGCGAAACCGCTGGGAGGGTTCACCACTGATGAGCCAGGCCCTCCCTTTAATTTTTCCATCGCAGTAAGGACAGTAGAAATTGTTTTATTTTAAAAAGAATATTACGCCACTAAAATAGTTTTATAGGTGTTGATATTGAAAACAAAATTAGGCATATTCTGACCTCTCTCAGGTTGGCGTTCAGCCAACCGAAATATTGGCAAATAAATATTTTATTCAATCCAATAAATGTCTTTTTATTATCTCATATCCGAGAAAAAGGGGCATTTACTGATCGTGCAAAAAAAGGTTGCTGATGGCTTACGCCATCTATTGGAATAAATAACAACTAACTAATATCAGTAAATACCTTTTTTCTCAATTTATCTACCTGATCCAAGTACAAATTCATTTTTGTATTATTTTTCACATGTACACCACATATATATGTAATGAGTTGAAGTTCTGGTAGCTCTTGTAGAATCCTGTCGACTAACTGTAATAAGATGATGAGTTACTGTTGACTCTTGTAGAGAACTGTCGACTAACTTTGTGATGATAAAGTGTTGACCAAGAGGAACAGTCAGGATGTGGTGAGTTTTCCAGTACCTCTCTGCACCTTGGAAGACCTTTAAAAGTTCTCACAAAGTACAGACAGTCGTGGTCGAGGCAGAGTGGAAAGCTTGGGAATGTCCACACAAAAAAACGAAGACACAATTGCACTAAGAAAGTTCCGTGCACAGATAAAAGTTGAGCTAGGAGCGAAAGATGGAGATAGAAGAATTCTTACTGGTCTACATGGTGGATGGGATGGACCTTGGTGACAACCGACGAGGGCTTGCGCTGAGGGTGAACTAACTGTCAAGTGACTGTAAAGTGACTGTATTTATAGGTTAAGACGGGGGGCCTTATGCGAAAGGGACCGTTTCTGAGAAAGGGGGCTTTGCATGTCACCAGATGTGAGAGGGGGGCTTTGCATTCCACCAGATGTCAAGAGTGTGGGTGGTCTGGCCCATTTTTAGACCTTGTTGTGGGAATTCTAAATCGATCTCGATTTTGACGTTATGACTTCTATCTCTTGCTTAGCTCAACTCTTAATCTATTATAGATTTTTATTTATTTATCCTGTTTGTACATATTGCATTACATATGATGATGTAAAGACACATATCAATAATGCGTATAATCATTTACAGATGTGTTTCTATTATACAACATTAAAATCTTGTCATGAGTTATATACAATATGGGTTTGTTGGCTTAAATTACCATATATATATATATATATATATATATATATATATATATATATATATAATGAGAGGATTTAAAAGCACGAAAGTTTCTTTTATATATAATACAAACTTCTACTATCCTTACTGCGATGAAAAATATATTGGGAGGGCTTGGCTCATCAGTGGTGAACCCTCCCAGCGGCTTCACCAATTTAATCTACCAGACCGCTTCTCAAAGTTCTAATACTGTATTGGACGATTCTGCTTATATACGCAGAACTGAAGGATGGAATCTCAGAAATGGTATTTAAGTAAACTATGAACATAAGCTTTTAGGACAGTAGAATTATATTCAAATATTCAAAAAACATATATATATATATATCTGTCTATACATTTTCTGATGAAGGAAGGGTGTGAGGTTCTGTTCCTACATCAAATGAAGTGTGCCGCCGGAAGGCGAGGGGGGGAACAACTGAAGAATGTCATTATTGAGTGGGTCGATCCCGTCAGAATTTAAAATATTTTTTATTGAGAACCTTTTGATTTATACCGCCCTTTGTGCCGGTTATGACGAGGGTGGATTCTTCCTTTGACATGTCATCCTGTCTTATATCTCTGGAGTAATCTACACTCATGGACAATACTTGAGGAAGTTGTACCTTTTACAATGTATATCGGGATTGAGACAATAACTCTGAAAGATATTACAGTGACCTTTATTGAAGACACACGAAATAACCAATATACACTCATGGACAACACTTAAGGAAGTTGTACCTTTTACAATGTATATCGGGATTGAGACAATAACTCTGAAAGATATTACAGTGACCTTTATTGAAGACACACGAAATAACCAATATACACTCATGGACAACACTTAAGGAAGTTGTACCTTTTACAATGTATATCGGGATTGAGACAATAACTCTGAAAGATATTACAGTGACCTTTATTGAAGACACACGAAATAACCAATATACACTCATGGACAACACTTAAGGAAGTTGTACCTTTTACAATGTATATCGGGATTGAGACAATAACTCTGAAAGATATTACAGTGACCTTTATTGAAGACACACGAAATAACCAATATACACTCATGGACAACACTTAAGGAAGTTGTACCTTTTACAATGTATATCGGGATTGAGACAATAACTCTGAAAGATATTACAGTGACCTTTATTGAAGACACACGAAATAACCAATATACACTCATGGACAATACTTAAGGAAGTTGTACCTTTTAGCATGTATATCGGGATTGAGACAATAACTCTGAAAGATATTACAGTGACCTTTATTGAAGACACACGAAATAACCAATATACACTCATGGACAACACTTAAGGAAGTTGTACCTTTTACAATGTATATCGGGATTGAGACAATAACTCTGAAAGATATTACAGTGACCTTTATTGAAGACACACGAAATAACCAATATACACTCATGGACAACACTTAAGGAAGTTGTACCTTTTACAATGTATATCGGGATTGAGACAATAACTCTGAAAGATATTACAGTGACCTTTATTGAAGACACACGAAATAACCAATATACACTCATGGACAATACTTAAGGAAGTTGTACCTTTTAGCATGTATATCGGGATTGAGACAATAACTCTGAAAGATATTACAGTGACCTTTATTGAAGACACACGAAATAACCAATATACACTCATGGACAATACTTAAGGAAGTTGTACCTTTTAGCATGTATATCGGGATTGAGACAATAACTCTGAAAGATATTACAGTGACCTTTATTGAAGACACACGAAATAACCAATATACACTCATGGACAATACTTAAGGAAGTTGTACCTTTTAGCATGTATATCGGGATTGAGACAATAACTCTGAAAGATATTACAGTGACCTTTATTGAAGACACACGAAATAACCAATATACACTCATGGACAATACTTAAGGAAGTTGTACCTTTTAGCATGTATATCGGGATTGAGACAATAACTCTGAAAGATATTACAGTGACCTTTATTGAAGACACACGAAATAACCAATATACACTCATGGACAATACTTAAGGAAGTTGTACCTTTTA